TATTTCCTGTTTCTTTTTAACATTTCGAATGCATTTATAAACTGATAGACAAACTGAGAACCCTAAAAGAGTCAAAATTGACTTGCGTGGAAATGACGAGTCTCGCCCGCATGTGCTTTCCGTACGTAACTCGATTCAGTCAATTATTTTTTTTAAAACGATTTTCTTATTTTCATAAATGAATTTCATTAAACCCGTAATACTCCAGTCTCCTTCGTAACACTCTTATTTACAGAGTTGCAACAGAATTAAAGTAGGTACGTTCGAGATGAAATAAATCGTAAGACAAGTGGTCGAGTTCAAATAGAAGACGAACGTGTTTAAGAGCCCAAGTCGATATCGAATGGAATCCAAGCGAATATCCAAAGATAAACATCCTGGCGGCGCGCAATACGGCCAAACGCTCATTTCCTGAACAAAACTCAATAATTTAAAAAGTATGAATGATACAAACAAATGCATCAGACAAAAGTTGCAAGGTATGGAGCTAAACATATGATAGTTATATTTTTGTTTACATTACGGCAATATTACGAAGCTTTTTCAATGGCAATGAATATTCTGGATTTCGATTCCAACATTATACAAATACAGAAACTGAATTCATTTGCACAAAATTTTTATTCTTCAAACGAAAATCATTTCATATAGCAGAAACTACTTAGCAACCAATTGGTAACCTTCAATTTTCGTTATGTCAATTGTCGAATTTTGAGGTTTTATCCACAAGTGGACTGTGTGACGATCCGCCGCATTACAGTGGTAAGGCAAAATGGAAAGAAAACAACTTTACCAGCCGCGATAGAACGTCCCCGGCTGGATCCTCTGTTTCCCTCTCCTGTTTCCGATGAACCGAAAGCGAGCTACCGAGCGCGAGCCAGCCGACCGGCCGGACGAGAGGCATCCGAGTGCCTCGAACACCATTCGACGGCCGGCTTGATCCCCGGCTGTAACGAGACTTCGGGCCAAGTAACGGTAAACTCCATATCGCGTCGTTCCTACAGTGTCCTATTCACTGTGCGCTCACTCTCGAATCTTTTTTCCGCTTCCTTTTTTCCCTTTTCTTCCCCCCTTATTCACCGGTCTACGCTCTGAACGGTTATTTATCCAGCACGCCTCCACCACACCTCGGCGAATACGATCGTGCTTCTACCGATGCTGTTTTAACGCAGGATGCAACTATGGGAATTGGGGATAAGGGGATTAACATCTTACATGGCGATCTTCGGGATTGCTTTGATGTTTTTTGGTTTATTGAGAATTTGTGATACTTTCTTTTGTAAATACGATTGGGAATATTGTGATTTATGCTTTTGTGTGATGGGAATTTTAAAGTTGATCTTTGCGTGGTGTGACTGGTAATTACGATTTATGTTTTGTTTTCGGTATTGAGAGAAAGATTAATTCGTTAAGCGCAACGAAAATTTTGACCGTTTTTTCAGTTATTCCTTTGTAGCAAAGAAAAGCAGGGATTATTAATTATTTGGCGTTACAGTCCTTGCATTACACTATTGTCAACTTAGTTACGTTATTGCACATTTTCAATCGACATCGGTTATCCTGAATGTTACGATTGTTTTCGAGTAATTCAGAAATGGCCCGTTTAATCCTTAGCCTTTCAGATTTACCCTAATGTAGGCCCGAGAAAGATACTCGGAGCTTTGTATGCATCTCTAAATACCATGCAATGTGTAAATACATTGCGTATATGCATAAATATTGTCACAATGTAGATGAATATTTAAACAAGAATAATATCGATCCTCTAAAGATTAATTAACATTTATTGGTCTTTTAGGAAGTTAGAAAGTGAAGAGTCAATGTTTTTATATAAAATGGTTTCACTAAACTTCTAAAATTTGTACAATTTACTATATGTTACTAAATTTGTATAATTTATTAAGTTTGACTAAAATCCTCATTTCCTATTGCTTGATGCCTCTAGTAGTTTAACGTGCCGCGTCTCGTTCAGCGATATCGATTTATCAATTCGCGTGGTGTCTTGAAGCTCCCACGACAGTGTTTCTAAATGCGATGTTCATTTTTTAACGTTCGCTGAATCATTAAGACTGTTTACGGTCGTTCATCGTTCTTTATCATCCGCTTCTGCCTCGGAGCTCGGCATTACGTAATCAACCACCAGAGACACTATCTGTTACAGTTGAAATTTTAGACACGTCTGCGGCGCACAGTTGCCGTACGTTTTTCCCATTTATTTCGAACAATTGTTTCTCGGTTAACGGTACCCCGGACGCGATGTATAACCGTGCGTCTCTATGTCTAGATTTTTAATACATTCTCTACGAATTTTTTATGTAAAATTCTTTTTTTTATTCTTCTCGTTGTTCTATCATTCAGTGGCTTTAGAATAATAGAGGTCGAACTATTATTTCCGGGTTCCCCAGAAAGATTTTTGTCAAATCTCCTTCGATTAGCTAAATAGTAATATTATGATTACTAATGTTAATAATTAACCTTGCTAATAATTAATAATATTATAATATAAGTATTTAAATAATTTCTGACTACTGTCCGTTACGTCGGATCATGTAACCATTTTCCGAGACGCTCCGAATTGCAAAGTTCCGAAGATGGAAACTTTCGAGAGCTGATCCTGTCAACTTCAACCTGTTGACACTTCGGCGATCCGCGCGTAATCTTTCACCCATCACCGGCAACTTCGGTGAACATATTTACATACCGTTCAGAGATTAGGTGAAAGGAGGAAGGAGATTAACCTGCATAGGAAAGAGCAAAATTTATTTCTCGAGAATCAGGCTTGAAAACCCGTTAATGGGTAGACGCGTTAATCAATTCCTAATCGAGTGCAAGAGTTCTCAGCGAGATCGTGAACTTTGCTTTCTCGAGAATAAAACTACAAATGAGAGGATTTGGTTCTTTCTTCCACTTACTTTTTATATCTACTCTCAACTTAATGATTTTTCGATCAGGCTACTCGGTCACTACGAGCAATTATCACTGAATTCTCCTAAAATGCATTGTAATGAATACTATACCAAAAATTCCAAATATCCTTGTCTAAAATGCTTGTAACAAACAATAATAAATCCCCAAAATACACTTTTCCAATTAAAACACACAGCATCACACGAAAAAAGGTTACTCTACATTCTCCACCTACTGTTCCGCATAAATTAATTCCTCTGCAATGATTCTAACCAAAACACCGTTACAGACGAAGTAAAAAACTCATTAAACCTCCTTAACTCCTTCAAATTCAGCAGCACAGTTTACTTTTCCATAAACCAAAAAGCTTCTATTACTAACAATTGAATGGCAACAATTTTTCATTCATAATTAAACATTACTGAAACTAATACGCAATCCAAACTACTCCAAACAACAATGTTTACCAAGAAAGACCAATACTAAAGTGGTTTAGCGACCCGCACCGAAAATTCTCGTCAATTCGTATGTTCAATGGACCCACCGATCGATTCTTCGATCGACAAAGCAGATCCAGGTAGTCAGTTCCCGATCGCGCGCGGGCGGAGGCGGAGGACACAGTCTGCGACGTTTTACGACCGCGGAGCGGCATAAACGGCTGCATCAGATAAAGCGTAACCCACTTTTTCGCTGTGCGCTGCGCGGTACGTTCGTTGGAAATGTTCTCCTCGCGATTTTGCGCGGGGGGCATTGTTTCAACGACTGTGTCGTGTGTCGTGCGTCGGTTCCTACGATAAAAGCGCTCGGGCTGCTGGGATTCGCGGTGCGACGCAGCCGGAAATAATAGCGGCGAGCGCGCGCGCGCGTTAACGCGCGGGAAACACGGAACAACCGCGAGAACGCCCGTAAAAGGGGACGTAAAACATTCTGTCAGCGAGCGAGCGAGCGAGCGAGCGAGCTTCTGTCCCGAGAACGATTTTACTCTGTTCCCAGACGCACCGGGCTAAACCGAGTATCAGCTCGTAAACCCGGCCTTTCGCGTTGCCACGATTACCAACGCGGCCGCGTTATCGCGGGCTTTCCGAGTTTTCCTTGAACTTCGGAACGTGTGCGCGAGGATTTCTTGGAAGATGATTTGTGACGACTTTCTGAGTTTGGTACGGTGCTAGAATCATTCGGGAATTCGAAATATTATATATTTAGAAACTGCATAGGAATTTGTGTAGGCTAATAATGACTTTCGTCTATTTTGTTGCCGCCTTGTTTGTTGAAAGATGGCTTGTGGCTATTTCTGAGTTGACATGGTTCTAGGTTTATTCTGGAATTGGAAATGTTATATATTGCAGAGTGGGAGCTTGTATATGTTAGGAATTTTCGTCTTATTCATTTTAAACTGAAAAGTATATGCATTGGAGATGTTACTAAGAAAATTCGAATTACTAGTCACGATTCGTTTCGATTTTTTTTAAGTCGAAAATTTAGACGTTCGAAAAATTTATAAGGTAACAGACGAAATAAATTATATTATATAAATAATTATATAATAATCTTTCGTCTATTTCTTCATCAATTTTTCGAACGTTTATATTTTCGAATTAAAAAAATAAAAATTATATAAAATAATGTGTAATGTATAAAGAATTTTCTCTATTTAATTCTCTTCAAATTGTCAAGTGACTATTTACAGAGATTAATTAAACCATTCATCCAGTTTCAACAGAAACACGTTTTTCGAATAATCCCTCTTTCCTTCCGATCGCTGAAATATTGCTCAACGAACAGTTGCGCGATACAGAAAATAATTTCCTCGTTTCCCTGCCCGTCTATTCGGCGGTCCCGTCGAACCGTTTTTCCGAGTCGTTGGCAACGAAAATGAAATACCGCGTGCCGCCAGTGGAAACCGACGAGAATTAACGAGCCTCCCCATCGGTCGCCATTCGCCACCTGTTGCCCGCAGAAATTCGCTGGCTGATATGTACTGATTTATGTACACGGCTATTAGCTGTCCTCTTTCGGGATCCGTTTTTCTTGTACTAGGACGAATGGCTAGACCGACAGAGATTACGATAGACTGTATTAATTGTGGGACTCACCTTGGCTTGGCTCTCTTCAGCTTGGCTCCTATCTTGGACATCGTAACTAACGAAACGGTTCTGAAAGAAAAAAATGGACATATTAACTTTTGAGATTTTTGTGAATCGCAGTGCTAACCTTTTGCACTCGAGATACGATTCTTAGTTGTGTTTATTAGTGTATACACTTCATTTGATGCAGTAAAATCGAAGTTTGATAGTTAACACTTTGCACTCGTATGTTATGCTCGAGATCACAATACAAATTATACAACGTTAGAAATTGTTTAAAAAAGTACCACACTTTAAAAGATGATAACAATGAAACCTTATTATAATAATATTAAATAAAATAAATATACAACATTGAATTTTACCGCTGTAAATTACTTTAATTCATTTTCCTAAAAATAGATACAAGTTTACACCCAACAACATTCAAAATAAACCAAGTGCAAAGGGTTAATATTAAATTTTGTGTATCTTAATGTATAAAATATTGAAATACAATAGCTCCGTTCTTTAATTTACTGGTGAATTCTTTTGAGAAATTAAGAATTGAAAACTGTCATCGATATATCATCGGAGAATGATGAATATTTATAACGAGGAAACTTTCGAGTGCAAACAGTTAATTATTACGTCATGATACTCGAATACATAAGGTAAAAGGATATTTAAAGAATGATTCACTCTTCGTGAATAAAGATTAAAGTATTCAGAACCATTGGAAGCTAAAT